TTATTTTATTATCATTATCATTTTCATTATTATCATTATTATTATTATTATCATTATTATTATTATTTAGCTTACCTCACTTCGATTAGCTGCACTTTGTGTTTTTCTTAGAGTTCGTTTTATTCTTTTTCAAGTTACTTTATCACCTAGGCAATATAATTATTTTTGTTTGTTCCGTAAACATCGAGTCTGCACACTGTCTTTAATATTATTTATTATTTTCATCAAAAGAGATTGTCGTCTTCAGCCCGCATTATGTTATAACTTGTGTCCCAGGTTACGGGCACGTCGCCCCAAAGACATCGCTTGGTCGGATTGCCTGCATTATCTTCAGTATCGTGGGGATCCCGCTGATGCTGCTGTTGCTGGGAGGTCTGGGAGAGAAGATGAGGAGAATGACTTCCAGATTCAGCAAGGTATCTAACTGCACGATGTATCGTCGTGGTTGCTGTCTTCTTGTTCTTTGTTCTACTCCTCCTCCTCCACCTTTTTCTCCTCTTCTTCCTCTTCTTTTTTTCTTCTTTTGGCATTTCTATCTTGTCCACCTCCTCCTCCTCTTCCTCTTATTCTTTTGCCTCCCCCCTTTCCTCCTCCTCCTCCTTTTCCTCCTCTTACTCTTCTTCTTTTGCCCCTCCTCCTCTTCCCTCTCCTACTCCTCCTTCTCCTCCTCCTCCGCCTCTTCCTCTTCTTCTTCTTTCGCTTCCTCTATCTCCTCTTCCTCCTCCTCCTCCTCCTCCTCCTCCTCCTCCTCGTATACCTGAGCACGGAAACATAACAAATATCGAATTTCACTTCCTGAAACTACAGCTGCAGAAAGGCGGCAATAATGAGCCAGTGTGCTCACCTTTTTTTCGAGGACATAACCCGGGAGAAACTAGATCCTAGCCTTCAGTACACTTTTCTCTTTTATACTGCCGAAATTGTCCAAGACGACCGCCCAATGTCGAAGAGAAAAGACGTTGCTTTAGACAGGAAAACTTCTCAGTGTCGTGATAATATTGATTTTAAAAAAGGTTAGGGGAAAGTGGGAAGTTGTCGTTTGTACAGGGAATTGTCTCAGACAGGTGACCGATACGCAGAGAAGATTCGACCTTAGGGCCTGTTGCTATCTTTGTTTTCAAACGCGTTCGCATACCTGAGCCTGAGGCATGCCTGAGCATGATATCAAGCAAAATGTGTCGAATTTCGTTTCCTAGGGCCAGTTTCATATTTCTTCCTCAACTGATACGCAATTATTAGAGATAATTGATTGAAGCAAGACAGGGGGCTCTCGTGGTCTAAAGGCACCGGGTTCGAAATCAACTTTCCTGCTATCTCATCCTGTTATATCGTCTGCTTTCGTCTCCACTTTCTGCCCCCCTTCCTCAGCCTTTTTTTTTGTCTTGTCCTCTGGGCTCCTTACTGTTTCTGCTGCCTTTCTCCTGCTGCTCTTGGCTCCTTAATACTGAAGAATTTTTGTCGAGTACTGATCATGTATCTCCCTTTTTCTACTGGGGTGTTGTATTTCTCTCAGTCCAGTTTGGCTTTAATAGGAGGGTCGAAGTAGCCCGCCTCCTTAAGTATTTAAATAATGTCGACCGGGGTGACGGTGTAAAGCTCCTGCAATTTAACTTATGTCTTGTATGTTCCTGGATTAAGAACTTTTCAGCAACAGTCAAATTTTGAAACGATAATACGTCAAAGTATTCACACAACAGACTGTATTCAGTCTTGTCCGTCTTATGTTTTCCTTCCAATCAAACGTTGTTAAATAATGTGTCAGAATTCTCACAGAGCTTTGTTTTCCTTATATTTTCTACCAATTTAATATTTAATAATATTTAATATAATATTTAATATATATTTAATTAATAGATAATGTTATGTCAAAATCTTCTCAAAGCTTTGTTCGTCATATATTTTTTTCCCTTCTAATCAAATTTTGACAGATAATGTGTCAAAATTCTCATGCAGTTTTGTTCGTAGTATATTCTTCCATCCAATCAAATGCTGACGGACAGTTGTGTCAAAATCCTCTCAAAGCTTTGTTTGTCTTGTAATTCATTTTTCCTTCCAATCATATGTTGATAGATAATGTATCAAAAATCTCACACGGCTTTGTTTATCTTACATTTTCCTTCCAATCAATTGTGGATATAATATAGTGTGTTAAAATCAACTCAAAGCTTTGTTTGTCTTATTATCTTTCCTTGGAATCACATATGATATATAATGTGTCAAAATTCTCATAAAATTTTGTTCGTCTTATTAATATATTTTCCTTCCAATCAATTGTTGATAGATAAACTGTCAGTTTTATACGATAGTGCGTCAAAATCCTCTCAAAGCTTTGATTGTTTGACAGAAAATGTGTCAAAACCCTCAAACAGTTCGATTATCTTATATCTTTTCCCCTCTAGTGTGTGAGCCTTCTACCTTGCTCCAAACGGGTGAATCGATTCTTCAACTACGCCCTGATCGCTGGGTTCGGCCTTCTCGTTCTCTTCGTGGGACCCTCGTTTGCACTGATTTATTTCGAGGGCTGGACAGGCGTGGATGCTGTCTACTACTGCTTCGTCTCTCTGAGTACTATAGGCTTTGGGGACCTGGCTCTTGGAGATCGTAAGTGTGCTTGTATTTTGATGATGATATTGTGCTTCTGTGTAAGTGAAAATAATATTATCATGACGAGAGACAGACAGACAGACAGACAGACAGGAGG